GAATTCGTTGGCTTTAATTAAGTGGCACACGCGAGGGTTCCTTGCTCTATGGTGAGAGACTGAGGATATTTTTTGGCAAAATATGTTTTCTTTTTAAAACTTTACGGACTAATATTCAGTGCAAGGAGTGAAGTATTATTTAGATTTCTTCTCAAGTTACACTCTCAGTCATTTTTAGTACAAAAGGGCAAAATGTCAAAATGTCAAATATCTGAGTGTTGTCAATTCAAGCCGGGAACTTACGGCTGCGCCGAGAGGGATTGAGACCTTTATAGTATACGGCCGACAAAGAAAAGAAAAACATTAGGCCTATGTCTGCAAAATTTCACTAAATCGATAGATGGGTTTAATAACTAGAGAAAGGACATCCAAACTTCAATTATAAGCGCCCCGAATTGCGAATGATTCGGTATCAAAACAGTCTCAGCCCATCGAGGCTAACGTCCAGGCACATAAATTGAAAACCCTTTTTTTCATCGCTGATAGAACAGATTTCCGGCTTTGGAACGAATGTGGTCCGTCGTTAATGACAGAAATGTTATTTTGTTGTTAAATCATCTTACGAAAGGGGGAATGAAAACTGAGAATGTATCATAAAATAGCGCCTTGAGAAAATCGGTGTGTAACCGGGTGAATTAGAGCCCCTTGTATTTTATTCCCTTTTGTTCTTCCTTGTATGTGATGGCCTTTTTGATTTCATTTATTATTTTTTGTAGTTAGCCCTCATATATTCTGTTGCATTTCCATATCTTACTAACATACTAACCTTCGAAGTTTCTTGTTTTTTTTATGGACATGATAAAACACTCCCTACCAGAGTTTCCCCATCTACCCCAGTTGTGTTCTGTTAAATTTCATGATGAGAATGCAGCCTTGGTCAATGGTCTGGTGTCACGTGGGGTGGGAGACCTTATGGGGTGATTTTGCCTCTGTTACTGGGCGTGGGAAATAAGTCCAGACTGTGCAGGCCACTTTCAGATCAGACATTGATATGCAAGCACCTTGTTCAGCTCTTGAATCACCTCTTCAAAGCTAAGCGCTGGGCTCTTGGTTTTCCCAAGTTAATCAACCGATAAGGTAAATGTCAATTTCTTTTGATACTCTTAGTTTTATTAGTGAGGCAGTAGTGACATTAATGATGATTTATTAGTGATAGTTCTCTTATAGTTCGACAAAGAAATAAGAGCCGAAATCATTTGTTTTCATGATTTATCTACCGGTATAGTTTAAGTCATGGTTATTTGGATCACTGAAGATAAGAGTATTGCGAGGAGGAAGAGTGTTTTTCTAGTTTATAATATAATTGTTGCTTTTAAGTGCATGCTTACGGTGAAGCCGGTGATTAAGATTATATGGCACAATATGTGTAACAGTGGTTGAATTCCAGCATCATTGCTGTGGAAATTCTTTCTTTCTTTCCTATATTGGACTATAGATACTTGATAGGTACTTTTGCGGTTGTTATTGGTTTATATTTTGTAGCTAGTTAAATTGTGTGGCTTTCTTATATCATTGTATCATTACTCGATATGACTAGTGTTTAGTTCACCTATTTACATGGTGGGTCATATAAGAGTGTTTTGCCTGAGAGATTTGAGTGAATTGGTCAGATGAAGAAATCAATGTAAAGTTGATTCATTTTGCCAGTCATATGTTATTTCGGTGTATTTTGTATGTTAAAGCTAGACCTTTATTGAGGTTTGCCTGTGAATCTTTTGACCTTATAATAGGGTGAGACTTGAGACAACAGGTGGGAAGTAACCTGGGGCAGGACAGGCTAGCTGAGCGAGCCAGCCATTTGGCCTCGGTGCCACTGGCCTGGGACGGTCGTTAAAGTACCCCTCGAGGCTGAATGGGGTATGTTTAGTCTACTGACTGATTGATTGAGTACTCTGTACTTATTACTTTGTTTTATGCTAAATTGTGCTTTATGCCAGATTGTGGTGGAGAACAAGACTCCCAGTGAAAAACTTAAACTGTTAAGCTGGTGTTTTTGTTACTTTGATGCATCAGAATATTGCTTTGGCCAGTGAAAAGTGATTCTTTGTTTCTAAAATCATGTGCATGTATCTGGTGGATTGAAGTCATGATTTGTATTGATGTTATATTTTAACGGGGAGATCAGTAAATGATCAATTGTTAAAATGAAATTCCTAAGTGATATGCAGTTCTGTTGATTTTTATTATTTAAGTTTAATTTTATTTTTCGTATTTTGTTTACAGGGTTTTTTGGTGAAACCGTGTAATGCCAACAAGACCTGTTCTATTAAAGTACATAATTGCCACCGCATCCTGATTTGTGTGTTTCCTTATTTTATGGTGCGAAATTTGGCTCACAGGTGCATTGGTAAACCCAGCCCAATTAATTCTATAATGAGACGGAAAATCGGTGCATTGGTAAACCCAGCCCAATTAATTTTATAATGAGACGGAGTTCCTTGCCCTTGAATGAAACAAAAACTCATAATTCAGTCAGACGATGTTGTTCCATCTCTAATTTCAGAAATGTCCAGATTCGATAGATGGGTTAAAGCACATCTAAAGTTTAATTTATTAGCGCCCCAAATAATTCGGTATCGAAACAGTCTCAGCCCAACTACATGTAATTTCACATTGAGGTTAAAATCCAGGCAAAACATTATCAATATATGTCGTTCATCAGAATTACGGATTTCCAGCTTTGAAATGAATTTGTTCCATCTGTAATTCGGTTGTTTTTTTTGGGTTAAACCATCTTACGAAAGGGGGAGTGAAATAAAATCCTGCCCCGAGAAAATCGACACACATGGCAAGCCCAGCCCAATTAATTTAATTTAAAAACGGAGATCCGGCTTTTTGCAATTCCTTCAAATCCACAGTGCAATCGGGTCGGGAAGGGCCACGTTCTGAGGCCGAGGGCCCGGAGACAGGGTGCCCGACCGGTACTGGCAGGCGCGGTCCGCTGATGAGAGTGCACGTGCCGCTAGTTGCGCCCCGCACACCGTCGGGGTCCGATGAGGCAGCCGCGGCCGATAACGGGTTCAGCTATTGTTTTGGCGGGAAAAATATTGCAAAAATAGCAAACGGACCGGGGTTTGTACTCGAACACAGTGCTTGTCAAAACGCACCCATTTTGCCGATAAGCACAGAGCTAGAGCCCCTTGCTCTATGATGTAAGCAATCATAATGGTGAAATTTTTCAGACATATTTTTTTGTGGTTGTAGTCGGTATCGGCCGTGTATATCGTGGTCTTAATCCCTCTCGGCGCCGCTCCCGGCTCGAATTTACAACACTCGATTGGATATTCGACATTTTGTACTATAAAAAAGAGTGCAACTTGAGATTAAGTCTAAATTGGTACTTCACTACTTACACTGAATATTAATATTGATAAGTTTTAAAAAGAAAATATCTTCGGCCAAAATGTCACACAACTTCCATCGTGTGCCACATAAGCAAATGAATTACGTAACTCTGTTTGTCGCCTATTAGCTTATGTAAACAAATTATCATGCATCTGGATCATTAAACGGGACAGGTGGACACTCTGCCTTGGAGCTTCCATGTGTCATTGCAGTCCTCAATGCATACGTGGACGTAGTAGCATGGATGATGCACATAGTACAAGTACAGCTGGGGGTACTGCCCAAACAATGATGAATGCATTGCGCAAGCTCACAGAATTACCTACAATTCCGTTTTTTACCGTTTAGGTCTGGATCTAATCACTTACGCGACCCCCTGACGACTCATACACTGACTTTAGGCAAAATAGTCAGACTTTTGCGGTCTAGTAACCAGACTGTGACTACGAAACATCAACTGTAAGTGAAACATCAAATGCATATTGCAAAAGATCGAATACAAATATACCGATGAAACATGGAATAGTACATATTGCTCGAATTATCAAACATAAATTCGAGAATATCGCAAATATATTGTAAAACATCATACCATGGAGGTAGAATTAGAATTGTATAGAAAAACATTGCACATTTAATGTAAAACATGGAGCATAATATTGAAAACATCTCACATATAGGCCTATATCGTCAAACATCGCACATATAAATTAAAACTCGCACATAAATGTAAAACATCGCACATTATATTGAACACCGCACATATATTGTAAAACATCGCACACATAATGAAAAACATCACACACTTATACTGAACATCGCACATAAATGTAAAAGATAATACACACATATTGAACATCCAACATATATATTGCAAAACATTGAATATTGCAGCGTTTCACACGCCATATGTGAAAACGTCACTGCGAAAACTACACGCCCATACTCAGTGGTGTATACCGGGTTAAACTTGTTGGGGCACTAAGGGGTGCATACATATTCAAGGGGGGGGGGGGTACTGAGCTAGCAAAATGATTTTGTTTGTTCAATTCAAGATTTTAAACCGGGCCGGGGGGGGGGGGGCAGGGAGGGGGTACGGACATCTACGGGGGAGGGCACGTGTCCCTTACTCCATATACATGTACAATGTACATGTATACTTTTGGTATCAACCGACATCGTGTCACATCCAAACGGTGCGGAAGGGGTCTTAACAGTTGTGCATGGGTATCCCGGGGAGGGGCGGGCGGAGGGGCAGGAAAATTTCGCCCGATCGTCTCCCTCCCCCCCCCCCCCCAAAAAAAAAAAGGGGGATGGTAAAACGAAAAGGGAGCTGATGGTATAAGATATATTTATATGGAAATTATATCAAATTTTTTGTATGTATATTTTTAGCAATAGAAACTACCTGTGTACACACAATAATGTACAAAGCCATGTTCACAGTTTTGAACAGTGCCCCAAGCGTCATGATATTATGATGTCCCGCCCCCCCCCCTCCCACCCTGTCCTTTTTTCTCGATTTTTTCACAGCCGGTAAGTGCTGTTGCCCCCTCGCGCAAAAAAATCACAGAGACGCCCATGCATGCCTGCATAGCTTGGCATTCCCGCTACCAACAGACTAGAAGGTTCAGTACATAAGACACACAGTTTTACAAACACGTATACACACAGCTCAGCTGTTTATTTCTCTTAACGTACTCTTTCATACATTTTTTTTACATTATACTTTTGAAAACCTAAGTCCAAAGGGTGCACGTTTGACCTTTAGTAATTGCGACGGAGGCATACGCTTTATAACTATTTTAAAGGCAGATAGGATCATTTGCTTTTCATGCATTTTGCTCGTTTCCAATAATAATAACACCAATTAAATTCTTTCAAGAAAACAGTTTAAAAAAACAACGCACAACCCTTTGATCACGAAACACGAATTCGTCAATACAGGGCGACCTCAAAAATGCAACCCTAAACATTTGCCTTTTTTTCTAAAACGTATACTCCGTGCATTTTTAATGTTTTGGATATCAGATTAAAGGTGAGAGTTTTTTTCTCCAAATAGTGAATAAATCAGACAAATTAAATGAGCTTTTTGATAATAATTCGGTAGGTTACTTTTGGGATAAATGCAAATGATTCTATGTGCCTTTAACTATAATCCTGCGTTCCGCAATGGTCGTACTAGCAATGCATTCGAGAAATATTCATGTACATATGGTTTATATCAAGCACAATATAAAACACGGGTGGGTACAAAATGTACAATGTAGTACCAGGGAAGTATGACCCCAAGATTAGCCTCTGGACTCCTAACATGCAACAACTTTTGCGCGCGCATGTCGGATGTTAATCTCGGTTGTAATGGTCGCAATATCATGGGTCACGGCTTTATGGGTGAAAGCACTTGTCACTACATTGTATTTATTTCTAGATCCAAGATAACAAATAGAAAATAGCAAATATCATTGGTAACCAAAGGTTACAATATATTGTACACTAGATGGTATTATATACACCACTTTTTTTTTACAACTTTAGGCTGAGGTGGATGGTAAATTTCAGGTCGAACTTCCACTGTTCTGAATCGTGCTTGACGATTGCGCGTTGCAACTATCTGGGCTTATTGTTTCGCCAGAGCTATTACGCTTGACAGCCATCCTTCGGATGTGCTGAAGGTTAATCATCGGCGGACCATTGTGGGAATGGGAATGGCCATCTTGCCGGATTAAGATCGCCCGTAAGTTCTTCATGATTTCCTGGGCGGCCGCTGAGTCGAAAGATGAGGTGAGTTGCTGGCTGGCCGACATCCCATGGATAGCATTGTAGAGAACCTCCGTCTGTTGGCGTAGAGACTTGAGCTGCTGATGCATGAGCGTACTCTGCTGCATTAGGGAGGCTGTCTGTAAAGTGAGTTCTAGAAGGCCACAGTGCCGCAGCAGAACAAATGTGCGGTTGAACCGGCGCCGCTTCCGTTCAGACTCGTCAGTACTAGTTGAGTCACTCGAGTAACTCTGCTGCGCCTTCTGCCGATGGGTGAAATGGTGCTGGTGATGGTGGCTCGGGCCGGAGCTTTCCTGGCTTAATTCGTCACGCTTCACAGTGGAGATCCTGATTTCATGATAGTGCAAACTCACTGATTTGGCCGTCAAATTCTTTCGTTCCTTGCCACCGTTCTGGCGCGTGTCCACACCCGAAGACGACATACAGGTGCTTTGGGACTGCACAGATTGGCTACTTGCGCTGGACGTGGCTATGCCAGTGTCCGTACCGTTTGAGATACAGCTCTTTGCAGTTTTCCCCTGGGAACCCTCCTTCTCTTGGTGAAAATGGACGTGATCCATGCTGGCAGACCCACTGCTACTAGAGGCTCCCGAGTAAGTGACCGTGATGTCAGCCGTGGCTCTCCCGTGTAGCTTGTTGCGCATCATGGGTGGCACTTTGGTTGGCTTGCTCCGGGACTGGGAGCTGGACCCCGAATCTGACTGGTCGCCTCCTTTACCGCACTTCCTAGAGCGAATGTGCTCCCGTTTGGGCGCATCGTGGAGGACGCGATCGAAGTTGGCCCTGGACCAGGGAGAGGTTTTCTCTTTGTCGCTGCCGACCTCAGCACCGCTTGACGATGTCTCATTGGTCTCAAAAGAGTAGGTATCTTTAGGCGTCTGAAACAGAATCAGCGTAAACGTACATAAGTAAGAGTACAGTGTATGTCTCTTCAGTGAAACTCTATTTAAAAGTAGGATTTAGATAATAGTCGAAAGTGTCCATGACTAAGAATACGGCAGAAGCTCCCAAGGTAAACTTTACTTACAGTGGAACGATCATACAGGCTCGATGAAGACATGGAGTCTGATGAGTATGGACTTCCACCTAGGGAAAAAAAGGTAAATGGAAGGAAAGTAGTTATGTTACTACAGATATCAAACCAGACAGACAGGTGTTGGTGGTGTCATGAATCCAGTAGAGGGCCGTGGTCGTACTCTCTAAATTCCAAAGAGTGAACATTCACTCCATTCGAGTGAAGATTCAATCCCACAGTCGGAAACTATAGGGACTAGACGTTTTAGAGTGAAATTCCTTCATTCGTAAAGATCGAGTTTTCACTCGAGCTTCGTCTGAGGCAAGGGCGGATCCAGGGGGGGGGGGGGGCCAAAGGGGGCCATGGCTCCCCCCCAAAAAAAAAACGAAACCAATTTTTTTTTTTTTTATGTGACATCGCAATAAAGGCAGGCAATGAGTACACCACCATCTTTTTCCTCCAAAAAACATTGGTTAAAGTGGTCAGAAATTGCCTCAGATCGCACCACAGAGCATCTAAAATCCAAAAAAAATTCGGGGCCCTTAAGCGGGCCCCGAACCCCACGCCGTAATTTTTTTGACCCATTTTTTGGGGGGACCAATTTTTTTTTGGCCCCCCAAAAAAAATTGTGTTCTGGATCCGCCCTTGGTCTGAGGTGGTACTTTTTCAGACTATTTCAATCGAAAATGAGAGTGATTTCCACTCTTAAACGTCTAGTCCCTAATTTCACTCTTTGGAATTTAGAGAGTATGAAAAAACCCCGTAACCTCGAAAAATAACCTGTAATATCGATTATCACTTTTCATACATGGTATGAAAAAAATGAAAACCGAAAAAAATCGAAATCCGTACTTCCACATCACATGTCTTTTCAGTCGGTCTTAACTTTGTAAAGAATACATTTGTATACTTCCAATTCAATCCTCGATACCACTCAATTCATTGAGATATCGAATGTTAACTTTGTCCTAACTTAACGTTGAAAATTTACTGACACAATAAAAACTACTGTAATTTTTTTAATGCGGCAACCTTGCCTTCGAAAATGTGTTGTTTTATGAGAATGTTTTAAGGCAATAGTGTCAGCATGTGAGTAGATATCAGCCGATGCGTTTGGTGGAGAAATACGTCATTATAATTAACAAAAATAACATTACAGGATTGTGATTTGTCCCCGTTCCTTTTATAGCGTTTAAGGATTCCTTTATAATGTTCTTACTTCTGGAATAAGGCAATCTGCCTTGAATCTGCCGGTGCTTTCTAATCCCCTGTGATGGATCTGGATTCATGATGGCGACCCTTCGGTGGACATCAACAGCCTGAGCAACAGCCTCACTGTCTTCCATCGTGGGCGGTATCGACGGTATCGACGGCTCAGGATAGTACTTGCGTTGTCCCGCTTCACCTAGGTCAGGCGGGCTGACATACAAAGACGGAGACACGGGCACTCCGCACGTCTCAACATCGTTCTCCAGACCACCTTGCTGAATCAGCAGCTGATCGCTCAAATTCTCCATCCCGAGAGGTCCGAAGCACACTGAAGAGGACCCTCCGATGGGCACCTCTGCCTCAAACTCCGGCGAGCTGCAATTTTGGGGCCAGCTGTTGCTGGCCTGGAGCCCGTTCACCAGGGGAAAAGCCCGCACTTCTCCGGTAGCTTGGCGTGGAAGTGAGAACGCCGGCCGGTAGTTGACTGGCTCCTCATGGTCCGCCGTGCTGTTTAATCCCGTCGTCTCGGATACACTATCCATCTCTGCTGCCCTTGCGCGGGTTAACGTACCACGGACTAGTTTATAGATTGCATGGGGTCCGTTTGGCCAATGGACAAATCCTGCAATCCGAAGGGAAAACTTGTATAGTCGAGTAGAAAGCACCAGTCAATGGCTGTATCTGTTAGAAAAAAGAAGAATATATTGAAATCACATGTTAATCAATGTTTAAATGGAAATTGGAAAAACATTTTTAAATTGTCTTTTCCGGCTTAATTCGGCCTTAAAATGTAAGGTGCATCTTGAAACTAAAATGCATTGTAATTTTTGTTCACATGAACATAATAATAGTCCCGGCATCAAAACGAAAAAGGGCCCTGAATTCTGTCAATTCTGTCAATTCTGCTGTACTAAAAGATCATCAGGAAAAAGATCCAGTATGGTAAAGATGGGTACACGAATTAAAGTGATGCTGTACTAAAAGATTATCAGTTCAGGAAAAAGATCATCAGGAAAAAGATCCAGTATGGTAAAGATGGGTACATGAATTAAAGTGATGCTGTACTAAAAGATTGTCAGTTCCGAAAGATCATCAGGAAAAAGATCCAGTATGGCCAAAAAAAAAAGGTCTCCGGTTTCTGGTATGGAGCTTGCCCAAAAAGTGGTGCGGCGACACGGCTTTTTTTTTTTTTACCTGTTTTTTTTTTGCTTCAAATGTCGGCTGATGACTGCAAATGGTGCCCGACTAAACTTAGTGCAAATATTATGGGAGACCAGAGAGGCCACATAAAGCTTATTCTCGATCATAACCCCATCTAAAAACACGTTAAAATTGTGCAGCAGCAGGATTCCAGTCAAACCAGTGAGTTTGGCGGTTTTGTGACATAATCTTTCATTGAAAAAAAACCTTTTTCATTTTGCCGACGCGCATGGCTACGGCGACGCGCGCATACCAGAAACCGGAGACTTTTTTTTGGCCTATGGTAAAGATCCCCAGGTGCATTATTCATGACTTGGCCCCAGCCGTCCTGGGAATAAAAATAAATTACGGGGCAACGCCATACACAGGAGCGCTGCGCTTGCCATTGTTAATCTGTCACAGGGCAGTTGCTTTGTACAATAGAGTGTACAGTGGCGTCTCCATTGAAGGGGGCCTCGTCGGCGTAAGCCGATAACGTGCCCAGAAAATGGCTTCATTTGGGCTCGAGAGCGAATTTACCACGATATGATATTTGGAGAGATCGTTAAAGGGAATATAGATCATTTGCTTTTTCTGTAATTTCAGTAATGGATGGATTTGGGGGGTTGGTAATATATAGCAAATATTCTTACACTGACGTTTTTGACATTTTAGGTTCGTAGATGCTATAAAAACCAAGAAAAACAATTCATTTCATGTAGTCTGGATCCCTGATTCAATTTAAGATGAAACGGAGCAAATTACAGACGTTGGGGAATTGTAAGCTTCAGGAAACCAGTCTAGCTGGCTTGTACTCGTTCATAGGTGTGTAATCAATTGCAAACAAATGCGGACTAACTGAATATGGTCAATTGGGGCCAGTACTTGAAAAAAAACCAACATTTTTTTTCCAACGCTGGTCGGAAAAATACGTTGATACGAAAATACCACTTTTCTTGAAAATGACACCAGGTGCCATGATTTTAGACTGTCATTCACTAAGAGTCCAGCAAGGTATTTCAAAACAATTGAGTTGTTTTATTTTTTTATGTTTGCAAATGTTGTATTTTCCCTTTAAAACAAAATGGGGGGGGGGGGGCTATGAACGTTTACACGATTACCAATGTTTTTTTAATGTCCTTACCGCGTGAAGGAACTTTTGGCTACAAAATGTTGGTCCTCAAAAATCGAGCCATGAGAACGTACGCTATCGCGCTAGTGCATGGTCATTTCACTCAAACAAATTTCTTTTCAAAACGTCCTTCAAACACCAGCTCAGCTTGGGACCTGAAATCTTCAGTGGATTGTCACATACACTTTATGCGACCCCAGTCTTTGAAATAAGATAGGTAACGAATCTAAAACATGACATTTTAGCGAAATTTGACTAAATGTGCGCCATGTACATTATTTGGAAATTATTTCAGGGTTTTCGGAAGCGCGCCAAATTATGTCGATTTTTTTTTTGCCTCAGGACAACATTTAAGTCTTGCTAGATCGACTTTTGCGATTTAAATTTCGCGATTAAAATAACAACCATTCCTCTATTGTTCATATTTAATGATTCCGTGAGTTAACATGTTTGTATTTAACTTAAAAAACAGACGTACGTTTAAGTCTCAGGGTTCGAAATTAGCGGTAGCCCGCTAGCCAAATGCTAGTCAAAACTGCGGCGGGCTAGTCAGAAGGCTGACGGAGAGAAGCCTTCTAATTCTAGAAGTAAACCACAGTTATCTCGGCACACACATTATCCAACTACATTGTCAGATATAATTTCTTAAAATTTTTGGACGCGATTTCGAATGGTTCAATGGGTACAGAACAAATGGATATTAATTGTGTCCAAATAAAATGTCTCCGGTAACTCCGAAAAGGGTCAGTCTGTGAACTGTTATAATGGTTTAATTTTGTGCATGCCGCGCGCCGGTCGTAATTCGTATGAAATTCGGGTTTAACTTTTACACATGCCCTGCGCTGGTGGAGAAGTTGTAGAACGAGTACACTTATATTATAATTGCTGCATTATACATAATATATAAATATCAGTTATATGAATATTCATCAGTCGACCGCTAATTTGTTCTCGAAATACTCTGAATTTTAAATGTTCTCAGACTGCAGAAGCGCATTTCCCTTATGCTGATTAATTAACAGCAGCACGATATGTTGTGAGCATGTTCGGGCCGGGCCCCCTAAATTTGAGGGAGGCCCCTCAGCCCGGTTAATCCGCAACTAAACGGGAACACAAATGTGCGTGATCGTGGGAGAAAATTCCATGTAGCCTACATGTATTCATCATCAATGAGAAATTACAAAATTCCTCATTTGATTCATCAACGACTCATGAGGTAAGAAAATGAAGAATGTGCATGCTTACCAGATGATAACTGCTGAACATGGACCTACTCTTTGAAAAAGCAAAAAAACAGTCAAGTTGACTCCTCCATCAGCAGTACAATTTCACGACTTGTGAATCCGAGAGTAACATATTTGTCAATCGGCAGCGTCAGGAACTTGTTAACAATAAAACAAATCTGAGAATCCCAGGTTTTCCTTCCCGAAATTGAAATGATTTCACAACCGAAATTGGCTTATTTCTCCACACAGCTTGTGACGATCAATGCTGCTGCCCGTCGACTAATGGCTACATCATTGTATTGCTTCGTGCCGAAGTCAACAGTCGCATTGGATTACACGCGTGTCGCATGGACATTATCAACCCGTGCAGGTACACGTGAACAACAAGGTGGATTTCTGCTGTGTGTTTCCACACGTGACGTCCCGAATGCGGCCACACACACGCTGCACGTGTCAGACAACGTGAAAACTCCGCCATGCAGGCCAACAGTTGTCCATTGCATTCGCGCTTGTAGGCCTTTCAGTAAGGCGCACGTGTAGTCTAGTGTGGTATATGATAATGCATTTTTCTTTAGGATTTCCAGGATCGGGTCACTGCATGGATACACGTGTACGTTGCTGTCTCATTCTCAATCAAATAAATCAAAGTTTGCATCCAAGTAAAGAGCATAATTCACATCAATAACAATGGGGAAAAACGCTCGGCGAGGGTTTTCCATAGACGCACTTCAACTTAACTTGAGACTAGAGCAGGCTAGTCGAAACGTTAAGACCAAGAACAAGTTCTTATAGAACTTAAAGCAGGACTGTTCTTATCAGAACAAAAACTACTTAGCGAAAGTTGATATAGGTTTTCGCGGCGAATTTCCTAATTTTTCTAATCGGTTTCATTATCAGCCATTCAATTTCACGTGAGTTTTGCACATGTGGTCAAATTGGGGTATCTTTTTCATTTGGGGTTCATTCAATTTCATTTTTAGGCAGCCAAGATTTTGCTCTGAATGTTGGTTTTCATTTTCGGGCAGCCTATTTCGTTTTGGCGCATTCAAGACTTAACTTGTAGCAGTCTTAAATTAAGTCTTTGCAACCTTTTGACGGTTGACGCATTCAAATTAGCGAACATCTGTGCGCTTATAACGTATAACCATGCTTTTCGTTTCTTATTCGTTTATGGGCAATCGCTTTCATCGTTTGGTCATTTAAATTAGTAAGATTTTTTAATCAATTTGTTTTTCCTATTTTTCTCCGAGGTTCATTCCCCCCCCCCCAAATCTTGATGACTGTAAAATTTACAATGTTACAAATCAACTGATATGAGGGAAACAAGATGCAACGAAATATAGGTTTTCCCGGCGAATTTCCGAATTTTTCCAATCAGTTTCATTATCAGCCATTCAATTTCCTGTGAGTTTTGCACATGTGGTCAAATTGGGGTTTCTTTTTCGTTTTGGGTTCGTTCAATTTCATTTTTAGGCAGCCAGGATTTTGCTCTGAATTTTCGTTTTCATTTTCGGGCATCCTATTTCGTTTTAGTGCATTCAAGACTTAACTTGTAGCAGTCTTAAATTAAGTCTTTGAAACCTTTTGACGGTTGACGCATTCAAATTAGCGAACATCTGTGCGCTTCTAAAGTATAACCATGCTTTTCGTTTCTTATTCGTTTATGGGCAATCGCTTTCATCGTTTGGTCATTTAAATTTGTAAAAAATTGTAATCGATACATTTCCTACTTTTCTCCGAGGTTCATTTCCTTCCAAAACTTGATAACTGTAAAACTTACAATGTTACAAATTAACTGATAGGCCCTATGAGGGAAACAAGATGTAATTACGAATTAATTAATTGAAGTGACTAAGATAATTTGTTTTTCACTGTTTATCTTTACTACTTGTTTAAACGTTTGAGCAAGGGGCATCTTAACGTTGACGATTTCTTGACGTGCAAGACATCGGAACACCTATGTTTGGCAATGGATGTACCATCGGGAACATTTCTCTCGAGTTATTTCTTAAATGTTTTCTTGCGCATGTCTGACCGAACACTTACTGTATTCACAGGGCCCATGCAAAGTTAGTTTGCAATGCAAACCTTGAAAATACAACTTTGTGTCACATTTAACCTTATTTGCAAATTTCATTTTTCATTTTTGAAGGATGTTTTTGGTGCCTTCTCCGTTTTTATGCTAATGCAAAGTTTCATATTCATTAGAAAACCTGTGATGGCATTCCGGGCATGATTAATGTTACATGGCTATGTAAGCACGAAAAAGTTGTTAGAATTTTTGATATTTTGCTGTTATAAATTTCTTTCATTTAGTGATTCTTTGATGTGTCAGTATGCATGGCAGTAAGCCAGTGAGCAACCCTTTCCCACAAATGTTTTCAATTAGCAAATTTAGGATAAATAATTTGAAAGAAAACCCCCAAAACTGAACAGTGTCTTCCTGAAATGACATGACAGTAACAGCGCGTTCATACGTAGTCCGGAAAAGCACGGAAACTTTAAGTGTTTAACCTTAAAAGGGCCGGGTTATTTTGACCATTCCGCCTCGGTCCCTTAAGGGTTAAAGAAGTGCACTTTGGCGATAAGATTAACCCCAAAATGTTGTCAAATGTGTAGTTTTCTTACATTTCACAGTAGTAAAGAGTTCCACAAAAAGAATTCCTGAGAAAAACTCATAATTTACGCTAAGGAATACGGACACGTATGAAGTCTCAAAAGATGTTTGACAAAATGTGAAATATGTTTGCCCATTAATGAAAACGAATGCCCGATCAACCCTTTACTGCTGGTTTAGACGAAATTGAATGAACAACGCGATGCTTTTAATATGAATGCATCTTTGATAGGGACGAGTGAAGCTAAAAGGCGATAGTTTGCTCGGATAGTGAAATTGAATGATTCTTTTTGATTGTCGAATGCCGATCTGCGTGTTCTTTCAATTTCAATCTAAATCGAATGAGCCAGGCGTTAAATTGAATGAAAACTTGGTGAAATTGGCCGGGAAAACCTATAATAAATTGAAAGGGACTAAGATAATTTCTTTTTCACTGTTGATCTTTTCTACGTGTTTAAACGTTTGATCAAGGGGTTTTTTACGTTGACGATTTCTTGACGTGTAAGACATCGGGACACTTATGTTTGGCAATGGTTGTACCGTCGGGAACACTTCTTTTGCGTTATTTCTTAAATGTTTTCTTGCGTATGTCTGACCGAACACTTACCATATTCACAGGGCCCATGCAAAGATTTCAATGCAAACCTTGAAAATACATCTTTGTGTCACATTTAACCTTATTTGCAAGTTTTATTTTCCATTCTGATGGGTGTTTTTGGTGCCTTCTCCGTTTTTATGCTAATGCAAAGTTTCATATTCATTAGAAAACGCGGCTATTTCAGCAAAAAAAGTTGCTAGAATTTTGGATATTTTGCTGTCATAAATGTATTTAATTTGGTGATTATAATGTGCCAGTACATGGCAGTAAGCCAATTACCAACCCTTTCCCGCAAATGTTTTCAATTAGCAAATTTTGGATGAATAATTTGAAAGAAAAACCCTAAACTGAACAGTGCCTTCCTGAAATGACATCACAGTAACAGCATTAGTCTGGAAAAACATGGAAACTTTTAAATGTTTGAAGAAGTGGACATTTGCAATAAGATTAACCCAAAAAGTGTTGTCAAATGTGTAGTTTTCTTACATTTCACAGAGTTGCGCAAAAAGAATTCATGAGAAAAATTCCTTGCACATACCCTTTGATTAAGAAAGAAAGTCAATTTACGGTTTGAAGTCATCAAATATGATTTACGCTAAGGAATACGGACACGTATGAAGTCTTAAAAGATGTTTGACACAATGTAAAACATGTTTGCCCATTAATGAAAACGAATGCCCGATCAACCCCTTACTAATGGTTAAGACGAAATTGAATGAACAACGCGATACTTTTAATACGAATGCATCTTTGATAGGGACGAGTGAAGCTAAAAGGCGATAGAATGCTCGGATAGTGAAATTGAATGATTCTTTTTGATTGTCGGATGTCGATCTGCACGATCTTTCAATTTCAATCTAAATCGAATGAGCCAGGCGTTAAATTGAATGAAAACTTGGTGAAATTGGCCGGGAAAACCTATATTAACAAAATGATGAAGCTAAACTTTAAGGACCCTAAAAATTGATAAAATAACAAATCGACAATAACATGTTCAACACATTAAAATGCAGTAAGAAATGGGTGGTAGGGGAATAGGACATCAACAAGGTGGGAAAGGAAAGGCTAGATTATTCGGGAAGGGAATGGGAATCCACAGTAATGTTTGGAATATAATTTGGGATCTTGGGATGAGGAAGTATAAAAATCAAACTTATCCTTTAACACTATAAAATGCCAGACATAATAAAGTTCAAGTCCACCTTGACATTTCTCCCAAAGATGCTGGCCTCTTTTACAAACTGTGATTTTTGCCGGCGTATTCACGAGGAAGCCACTTTCGATCGTGTTCCCTGAATCTATTTTGTAAACTGTAAACTGTTGAATCGGGATGGTGCCAGACTATGATTGGAGTGCGTTCCAAGCCCCAGTCACTTTCCCTTTTTTTTTTAATGTGGCTTTAAACATTAGGGTTTGTTTAATCGCAATTTTTTAATTATTCATCACAGCAGACTGGTATTAATTTAAAATGAACTTTTATTTCATTGCTTTCATTTCTACTCGTATGTTCCAACAATAGGTCATTCAGTTTCCTCTGAATTTTAATGCATGTCTTTAATCCCATTTCAATTCAACGAAAGTTCAATCGTTTACGTTGTCCGTGCATTCAGTTTTGAGACACAGACGGCCAATTACGTTACCTGCGCATTCATTAACGGAAGCATACCTTTTCGCGCAGAGTTTTGGAATACAATTTCGTGAATGACGGTGCAATCAAAAGTTCGTTTTTTTCTCATTTGAAATAGCACTTACATCACAGAACATAAAACTAAGTGATAGTCAATGTTTGAAATAACCATCATTGCTTTCATTTCTACTCGTATGTTCCAACAATGAAGAGTTTTATAGCCCACTTTCAATTTAATATGGCCGACTTGTGAATAAAGGGTGCGTTCGTTTTCGCTCGTGCCCCCGCCCTGCAAACAGGCGCTGGGATACGCTGATGAGCTTCACAGAATCTTGTGAAGGAAGTGGGGATGGCATTCATGATAACTTATCATGACCTATGTATAAAGCATCTGGCTGCAGCTGTTTAAGACCGCAGTTAGCCAGTGCACACAAATTCTATCCGAAAACTAAATGCACGCATTCTGTACCAGATGTGATTTCTTTTTCATTGCGGACCATGTGGGCAACTTTTGAACGTCGCATTATATGCAATTTGACCCATCGTGAATTCGAAACGGAGCCTGAGCAAGTGAC